GGCTCAGACCTTGCTGGAGTTGATTTTAGTATGTCTTCAAAGACTTTGATGCATGTCAGTAGTAAGCAGCTGAAAAACAGTCACTGGTCTCTCCTAAGGATGCTGAACTCCATCTTTTTTCCATAGTTTTTTTTTTAACGAGGGCATATTATTCTGTGAATTATTTTACCTCCATCTGGCCCTTCCCCTTAGAGAGTCACAAAGAACCATGGAATTGTTTGGGTTGGAAGGACCTCTGGAGATCGTCCAGTCCAACCCCCCTCTCTCAAGGCAGGGTCACCTGGAGGAGGTGACACAGGAACACATCCAGATGGGTTTGGGATGTCTCCCAGAGAGGGAGACTGCTTGCCCTCCCTGTGTAGCATGTTCCAGGGCTCTGCCCTCCTCAACGTGAAGTTCTTCCTCACACTGAGGTGGAACTTCTTATGTTTTAGTTTATGGCTGTTGCCCCTCGTCCTGTCTCTGGGCACCACCAAAAAGGGTCTGGCTCCATCCTCTGACACCCCCTTGGAGGTATTTATTTGTATTGATAGAAGAAACGGTGTATTTATCTATGTGTCTCACTGGTTAAGGACCTGCATAAAGGAGGCTGACAGGAGGCTGTGATGGCATCTCATGTTTTATCCATCTTGTGCTGACCCACAGGTTCTGTTTTCTCTCAAGTCAAACATTGATATGTAGTTTAGGAGGCTTCAGTAGTGTTTGAAAAGTCACTGTAGGTTTGTTACGCATTTTAGCAGTATAGGCTTGGAGAGCTTTTAATTGTTGTCTTACTTGTTCTAATGCTGTTGGTTTTGGGGGCTACCAGTGAACTTGCCTGGGAAACTGATCCAGTTAAATAATCCTTTTTATCTGGTTATTAATAACTCAGATCAGTTCTGTCATTCAGTTGGCTGTAGTATTCTAAAAGTGCTTGTGTCAGCACAAACAAGAGGCAGTGTTTGGGAATGTTTCTGAATCAGCAGTGCCATGGAACTGTGGCAAAAACTGTTCCTTTTTATTGTTAAATGGCAGGGCCCTGCCTGGATGCTGCCCTGAGACTGCTTTGAGTCTTTAACATCTTTTTCTACTCTCTAGGAGTGCCCACTGGAGAGATTTTTCGTTTGCAACAAGAACCTCTTGGTTAATTCTTGTGTTTATAAAACACAAATGTGGAGTCAGTAACAGGGTCTCAACTGCACGTGGCAGATAAGTGTGTTACTGGTGGGGAACATCTGGGCCCAGATGTGGCAGCCATGCATTTGTAGAGTCGGTCCAAGATGGGTGTCTGTAATCTGAATGTGAATGTGGCCACTTGTTAGATGGGGACAGGTGCATTTTTCTGGCCCTGTGTTTGTAGATAAAGTGTCACTGTGACGGGCTGGACTGTGTCTTCCTGCTGGATGTGCTGCCTGCACCCTTTAAGGTGGAGAAAAAGGCTTTGTGTGGACTTGGCCTGAAAAGCCTGGAGAATAGAACTCATGGAATGATAGAGATCTGTTTCCATCTGCTGCTTCAAAGAGACTATAAACCAGTTGTTTGATAGAAGGCCTGTGAGATGGGTGGAGTCTTCTTCATCGGTTAAGTTTTTTTTTTTTTTGCTTGGTTGCTCAAAACAGGCAAGACCAAAAAGTCTCCAATATGCTTATTCATATCAGTTACCTAAAACAGTACATAGAGGTGTATTTTTGCCTTCTGAGTTACCTGTTGACAAAAAATGTATATGCCACACTGTTTCATAAAATAGAATTGAACTGTTGTTCAGCCTTAAATAGTGCATGTAAGTAGCAGAATGTACAATAAAAGCTTGACAGTTTTCCGAAATTGCGTAAGCGTGGAAAATGGAAAGAGGTATTTGAGCCATCTAGTGGTTGGTATGAAACATTTTAACATTTTTTCATAGAAAATGTAAATGATGTCAGCTTGGAAATAGCATTTCTGATTTCTCTGCTTTTAGAAGCATGGCTGTAGAATGAAAAAATCCAAACATTCAGCTTCAGATTTGAAGCACGGTCTGTTTTGGTTTGTATCTTTTTTTTTATTCTAGATTTCAGTGAAAAGAAAGATCAGATAACATAAAAATTAAATCAGAAGTTAATAGCCAAAGAATGAATTTTGCTAGCATGAGGTCCTCAGAAACTGTGTGGGTTGTCAAGAAATTCAAGCAAAAGCTTGTAATAAGATAATTTTGTTCTCTACTTCTCACTGAAAAAAATGTTTGAAGGGAAAAAAATTGGCTTAAATTCTGCCTCACCAGCTGTTTGTAGCAGGGACAAAATTACAAGAGTAATCTTTACTGGAACACGTGGAATGAATAATTGTTTGTGAGAAACTTGTCAGATAAAACTAACAGAGGCAACTGAAAAGAGATTTCTTAAGATGGGCTGTGTTACTGGTAAACAAAGAATCTTATGATTTTAAGATAAAGGACGTTTTGCAGATGAAAATTTTATGTAGTGGTCTTGCTTGGTCCTGATCTGCATTAAGCTGTTGTAGCCTTTCATATTGGCTGTTGGCAGTAGGAACTTGACTACCTGTTGAACTTGGTATTGTGCAAAAATAGTGAACTTCATGTGTATCTCCCCTTGAATTATTTGTGGAAGGTACTGCCATGCATTGGAACACGGTGGTGTCTTCCAGTCCTTGTGAGAGTCCTGTTCCAGGTTCAAACCCAGTTTAAAAGATATTTTTTAATCTTAGTTTATTAGATTGGTCGTAATTTTATCAACAAGCAGTACTAATGGTGTTACATGGGGTTAGAGCTGTAGTGTGTCAGAACAGATCAATTCATGATCCACACTGACACTTCAGAATTTGCACCTCTGCATTTGAGGTGAAGTTTTAAATCTTGCCCTGTTTTTCACTGAGAAGGCAGTGGCAGCTTAACATATTTTTGAGGCCAGACCCAAAAGGTTTTTAAGGCTAAAGAAGAGTGAAAGAAGAATGGGAAAACCAGTCACACAGGGAAGGACAGTGATGGTTTATTTCTATTTTAGTGGTGTGAGGTCCATCTGAAAGCTTTATGTGAAATTGATACATAAATTACATTTTGACAAATCACCTGCATCTTGGTTCTCTTGTGCCTTCAGAGTTGGTTATTATGATCATAATAGGATCAAAACAGCATCGGGGAGATTATTCTGAATCTCTAACTTGCTTGGACCGAATTGGGATGTATTCCATAAGGGGGAATTGAATTCTTTGCAGGTTGAAGAAGTTTTAGTGGTCTGGCATATTTTTGTTTGAATTTTACAGGGTGGCAAAGGGTGATTTTTGTGACCATTGTTATTCTCAATCTTTATGGTGATCTAGACTGGACTGAGAGGTACTGGATAATTTGAAGTTCTGTTCCACATATGAGCCTGACCCGAGCACAGTGAAGGTTCCTGGGCTGTGCTGTACTTTTTAGGCTTCCGTGCTGCACATGTGAAAATCTTATTTTACTTCCTCATTTAAAATTACTTTTAAATCAAGGGATTCCACATGCTCAGCTTTTGAGCTTGCCTTCCACCTTGTCTGTTGTTCCCAGAGCACGCTTGGGAAGTGGAAAAAACATGGAAGTTCTTCTGTCTTTATGATTGTCCGTGTTGTGTTTCTGTTGAATCAAACAGGAATGTGCTTCTATGGTTGTATTAAAGTGTCATCCTCTCTTGTTTATGCACTTGCCCCTCCACTTCTCCTGTTGACATATCCCAGTGCTCTGATTGCCGTGGTTTCTGGTCATACCACAGCATTTTCTTGGAAGCTGCCCATTGCCAAAGCCATGATCCAGCTGTACTCGCGAAAGGATCTTTGGCATTTCCCCTGGTTTTAATTTGCACTTAGAAGATGCAAATGAGGGATAATGAAACTGTCATATTAGTTCCTGTTTCTGATGAATGCTGTATTTTGAATTGTCTTCTGGCTACCAGTTATTTTATAGAAATTTGGTTATAACTTTCATACTGGGATTGGTTTTAAGGCAAAACTATCTGATTTGTTGAAGAAGTGTGTGCAAGTGGAAGAGGGATTATGTTGAAGTACAGTCTTCAACAATGGAAACTCCAGCTCTTGTCCATGGGTCAGAGCTTTGGGATCTATACCTGTTCTTTCCGAATCATAATTGTATATAAGAAAAGCCTAAAAATGTGTCATAGGCAGCATGTGCAGTGTTGTCTCCTGTAAATAATGGAATAGCTCTGCTAAATAGAAAACAACTGTGCTGTGGCCTAACTTTGCAAAAGAAAAAGCAATTTGGTTATTTTTCAGAATTTAGGAAACGTGTTAATTATTTATAGAACTGGATAGGTAAACATTCATTAAAAGTCATTAGTAATTTCACTTTCGAAGTAAATCAGTTTCTGTGAAAAGAAAATGGAGGGAAAATGGGTTTCCAGAAGGGGAATGTTGTTTGTTGTTTTGGTTTGGTTTTTTCCCTTCAGCAGAATAGGGAGATAGGAAATAGAAATTTGATTAATGATGAAGAAATATGATTGTCATAGGTTTGAAGCTGATGGTCTGTATTTTTTGATATTCAGAAAAGTGACATTTCCTTAAGCATATTTTCAGATTCATTTAATTAATGTTCTACATTAGACACTGAAATTACAGTGTGTAGCTTTGTTTACTTTTGTGTGAGTATAAATTATTATGACTATGAAATGGTGTTCGGTAATAAATTTTTTATTATTATTATATTAAATTGCCAAATATTTCCACTTCATCATTTCCTTCCCTGCTTTTGGACAAGCAGAACAGAGCACATCGCTTTCTCTGATGTAAAAGTACTTGAATATTGTTGTTACTTTTCCTCCAAAAATACCCCCTTTTTTGTGATCATGGAGAATCACTTCTTTTTTTTTTTAATGTCTTCCCATCTTTTCATTCCTTCCTTTTGGTTCTTCCTGTTCAAGGTGAATTTTAAATACACTTATCTTATAATGGAAATAGAATATCAAAGGATGAATAAAACGCTGGAAACTGAATCTTAGAGCATATGGTTGTCTAATCTGGGGTTTAAACATTGTTTCTTTCCTTTACAGAATGCTGCCTTTTTATATGGCCTTGGTTTGGTCTACTTCCATTACAATGCCTTTCAATGGTAAGTTGGAACAAATTGATAGTTTTTGTGGTGTTTCATGGGTGTGTGAGTATTTCACCTTCAGTTCAGCGTGAGTGTACCATAGTTTAATTTTGGTTTTATTATAGATTCGATGTTTGCAGGTGAAACTGTCCTGGGTCTCATACCTGACTTGGGGCAGCCACAGCAGTTGCTTGCAAAGGGAGAATTTTAGCTCCCTGTAACACACTTCAGCAGAATGACTCAACAGGCTTTTGTGAGTAGTTGTTATCAATAGTCTGTGGCCTGTGCACGTTGGAAAGCCTGTTTACAAAAAAACTTCCCTCTTGGAAAAGAGGTGGCAAAATGGGCTTGTTTTCATTTCACTTGGTAGTCAGAAATTTTTACATAACGCATCAGGTGAGAGTTTTGGATGTGAGAAGCAGCACGCACCCTTGAAATCAGAGTGTTTAAACTGATGTGAAAAACTGAAATTTAAAGGGTTGTAATTTCTGTCATGGCTTTGGAGACTGAGCAGGGCTGCTGGGCGTGAGGGGAGGGTTGGTTTTCAGTTGGGCTTTTGGTTTTGCTTTATCTGTGATGAGCGTGGTGAACGGTGAACAGAATGGACTCCGTCACTGGAGTTCTACTGAAAGGTCCTCAAACTTTCATTGGAGTTTATTCCTGCAGGGAATAAAGTCAGTGTCATTGCAGAAATGTCAGAAGGGTGTAGTTAAACACTTCAGTGCTTTATCAGTGCTTTGTTACACACTGTTAGCACAGTAAGTGTGACTTTACTGCTTGATTGATTACTAAAAAGGTTCATTGTCTTACTGATCTAGGCGTGACTGCAGTTACAGAGACACTCAGTGACCACCAACTGATGGGTTGGAGCAGTGAAGGAGGATTCCTCCCTCCACCCTTCAGTAAATTGTTTTTATGTATCTCTGAGACAAAAGATTTTTGCTTTTCTCAGGATAATGTACATAAACTTTTATTCCTCAAATTAAAGTAGGTTGGTTAAGTCATGAGCTCAGAACATGGATTTTTTTTTTATCTTGCAATTTGCTGCTTTCCTTATTGATAGCAGTGAAATGAATGCCGTGTACTGTATGTGGCATGCAATTCTATTGCATTCTAATTAAAAAGAGAAGAACAGAAAAGTTTTCAGAAAACCTGAGAAACCCACTGTTTAAGATTGTGATCAGCCTTGGTTGAATTTCACCAGGTTCCAGATTGTTCTGGTTCTTATGCAATCCTGTCTTCAACATTTAGCATTCGAAAGTATTCTGTGCACAAGGTCTTACAAGGTGCATGTTGTTACAACTTGCGCAGTGAAAGTGGTAGATTAAATTAAATAACACAAAGCACTTAGATTTAGAGTGGTTAATCTTTCATATAACCACCTGTTCAACACAGGCTTTTGCCATCAGCAGATTGTGCTATTTAGCACCTTACAGTAGATGGAGCAGCAAAGTCAGGTGATTGTGAGGCCTAACTATTATTAAATTGGAGTTTTGAATTAATTTAGATTTTTCTTCCGTGCCTTTAGGTGAGGTTGTTGAGAACATGAGTGTAAGCTGGTGCCTTAACTGACAAAACTGCACATCAAGCTTATGTTAAGGTTGTGTAGAATAATCATATTTGCCGTTTCATTTATGCAGCAAAGTTACACATGGTGTGGTGCTAAGGAAGTTGTGTATCGTTAAAGTATTGGGTAGAATTCTTAGAGGAAGAAACTCTAATGTAGGTAAAATCTTACACCTTTATGTGCAATACTGATTTTTAAGCCCTTTGAGTACCTTCCCCCTCCCTTTTTCTATGTTTTCTTTGGGGCAAGAGCAGTGGAATGTGTGGTTTGTGGGTGTTTCGGTGTGACAAAATCACAATAAACATGGAGACGAGAGCAAGCCATTTACAGTGGATGTTCTTGGTAGACCTTAATCCTCTTCAGAACTCTCTTGCAGTTTGCAAGGAGAATCCTCCTTCTCTTAGAGTGACATGCTAGTCCAACTGTCTTGTTTCCTGCTGCATTTATTCCATATATTTAAGCTCGTAGGACACGGATCTTTCTATTTCAGGCAGGTAGAGGAGGCCTCTAGGCTGTTTAAGATGGTTTAAGATATCATGGTTCATCCAATTTTTTAATTGACACCACTTTAGATATTAAAAGATTTCAATGAGAGGCAAGTACATAGTCCTCCTAAAAGGAAGGTTTTTTTCATGTCTCATGTACACAGGGATAATAAAAAAGCAAGCAGGAATAAGGTCAAATTTAGAATTCTTGCTCATATTTTTTTTACATTATTCCTTAAGTTTTCCAGCTTTCATAAAAAGAAGTGTTGGATTGGATCCAAGAAGCATATGCAATTCACTTTAATTCAATATTGTACACTCATTCATGTACTAATGCAGCTTTACAGCATTATCTTAAGTACAAATCCTGGCTGATGCAGCATTTCTTGTTGGTCGTTTTGTTTGACTGTTTGTGCAAGTACTGAATGTTCTCAACGTATATACAAACATTGCAACAGTGTGATCATCCCAAAGCTATTCCATGCAATTATAACAGTAAGATTTGCCATAAGGGAACAGCACCATAAATTGAACCGAGTATAGTAAAATAGGTCTTAGGGATCTCAAATTTTGATACTTCCTTCTTTTACGCCATTTACCATCAAACAGTAAGTAGATTTTCACTGCTGTTAGAAAATAGGTAGAATAGGGTTAGCTGAGATATTCACATCACTTGAATAGTTTCATATCCTCTGTAGTTGTCTTTTAGGTTGGACATAAAAGAATTTCAGTAGTTAGTCCAAGGCTACCCTTCATTTCTGTGCAATACCTGAATCCAAGTGTAGTGGCTTGAATGCCAATTTTTTTCCTTACTTCAGTGAGGATTCTGAGTCTGACTAGTTTGTCATCTGCTGGTTTACACTGGCTTCCATCAAGATGGAGGGATGGAGTCCAAGTTTTGCTGTTGTGTCCTGGAATGGATTTAACACCCTCTGGATCCCACTGTGGTGCTCCAAGGCCAGCCTGCAGTGTTTCCAGTGACTGTCACCTTGCAAATTGCTGGACAGCGTGTGTAAGAAAGACACAGGATTCCTTAGAAACATCTTGCAGAAGCTGAGATCAGTCACCCGTACTTCCCCATTTTAGGCTCCTTGCCCTGAGGCTCCTCAGTCCAGGGTTTCCTTGCCAGCTGTAAAAATTGAGTACTGTGTAAAACTCACTCCTTCAGCACTGACCCTGAAAAAAGTCAAAGATGCAAGAGATGATCCAGACCCCTTTTTTCACCTCCATCATGGCTGAAGATGGAGACTGCCTGAGGAAAGTTAATCCTGAGTGGAACTTCCTGACCCATCTGCAGTGATCCTTGCCAGAGCAGAAGCACTGTCATCATCATTCAGTATCTGGATATCATGATTATCTAGGACCATCTCTGCTTCTGACTCTTCAGCTCAGATTCAAAATTGGATCTTGACATCAAGTTAACTTTCTTTTTGTTGTCTTTCTGTGATCGTACAGCAGACCACTTTTTGGATTGATGAAAACTCTGCTAATGATAGGAAAAAACCCTACTCTCAGCTGCTGTTCTAACTAAGACTTTGCTGCTCAAAATATTTCACCATTCAGCTGTTGCAGTCCTGAGGACGGAGGAGTTGTAGCTAAAGACTGTGAAAGTATTTCATAAACTGCAGTGTCCTGAGTACTGCTGTGTATGTACATTTTGTTTATGTTCAAAATATGGAGTTTCAAATAGGAATTACTCCATCATAGCCTCACTTCACTTCCATTAAATGACATGAGCCTTAGAACAGGTTGTCAGAAAATTGAAAGAGGATAAGAATTAGAAAAAGAAAGTTTCACTCCAGCTGCATCAAGCGGCATATTAGAATAATGTTAGGTTCTTTTATTTTGTAGGCTCACTCTGATTTTCATGGTTTTTGTTTGAAGCTTACAAAAGTGTTAACTTTTGAATAGTTAAATTGATGGTCGTTTATTACATTCTTTTGCCTAGTACAAAGCTGATTTTATTCACAGTCTATTCAAGCAAAGCCACCCAATAAAAGTCTTATGAGAGTTCACTAAATGTTTAATATAATCATCTATTAATTATTATTCATCTGGTTTCTTCACTTTCATAATGGTAGGCACTGTTGTATGGATTAGTGGGTGGGAAGATAGCTGCAGTATTGATTCTGGAAGTCTTGATTTAGAGATGAAGATTCATGTCATTTCTATTTTTCCTGAACTGCTGTAGCAGCAATGAAAGTCCAGAGCTGCTTTTCATCCCTCACAGTGTCTGTTTTCCAGTCCTGCTTTCCCATTTTGCTGAGTGTTAAGATAGCCTTTCCTACCTGTTGGTAGAAATGCTCTCATTCTTGGAGAAAAATCCTTATTTGATTTCATTCAATTCTAGTAGCCTCAACCAACGTTGTTCCTCACCACACAGTTGTCAGTGTCATCAGGGAACAAAAGGAGAGTCGTCTCTTGCTGAATTTGGACGACTGTCATTTGTTTCTGCAGTACGAGGGCGCCCGGCCATCGCTCAGTAATTTCTCCTGTGGACTCATGTTTGTTTAGTCTGCTGAAGGAGTAAAATCAAAAGTTCTTTCTATGCATGAAGGGCACTTAATTAGTGGTGGAGACTCACAACCTACTGGAGGAGGGCTCTGTGCCATCATCCCTGAAGGAGGACTCTGAAGCCAAGTTCTGCTTCATGTGTGACAGATCACGCAGCTGTTGGGTTGTGTCTGCTCCTCTGGTTTTGTTCAAACCATAAAAGAGCTTTGAGGGAAAACATCTGGGTAACTTGGATGCCTTGGATCCTCTAGACCCGTATCTTTCTGGATGTAAGCTTGGACTGAGAACAGAAATGGGATTAGTGATGTTTCAGAGAAAACAAAGATCTGTACAAGACTCAAGTGACTCCAGCTGTACCTGGATGGCCCAACTCAACCTGTCAAACATGAGCTGGGAAGGACTGAAGCTTCCAACACTGGGCCATGTTCTCTCCTGTTTTCCTTTACTACCACAACACTTGTTCCTACTTTCCACATCCTTCTTGTGCCAACCTGTACCAGGTTGTGTCTGGTCTGCCCCAGTGTGTCTGTGTCGGGTGTTACCAACCACTTTAAACTGAAATGGGTGTCAGTGATGCTGCAGATGTTTTGCTGTTGATGTAGTGAGGGACCAGGTCTGGAGCTGTGGGCATGGCAGTGGAAAACAGGCAATCCCAGAATAAAGCAGAGGTTTTTAGTGTAGTCCCTGTTCTGGATGTGTCCTTTATTCGTGAGGATGTTGCTATTTTGTTTAAATGTTTCCTGTAGGTGAAATTACATCAGTATTAATTGAGCTATGATGTAAAATTGCTTGTCTGTCTGTAAGAGTTAATGAGCAAATGTCTTTTCACAGGTTGAGTATTTTATTCCATTAAAAAATTCTACTGGCTATTTGAAATGAGGCTATAGTTACCAAATTAGACACGAGCAACTACCACTGGTAAAAATTGTTGAAAATGCTCTTTCAGATCACTTCATTGGTGAAATTTTGAGGATGCCCTTTTTTACTGAAGTAGTGGAAGTAATTTCTATTTGTTATTATTCGTGGTTTTCATTCTGGAAAAACTACAAATTGTAAAATCAATATGGAATGAAGACTAGAGTTAAGTAGAGGATAAAACCTGATTTTTAGTTAGTTTAGTCTGCACAGAGATAAACCTTACACAAACCTTGGAGGGGTGCAGACCAGCAGGTTCTGTGCTGAATGGGACACAGCCTTTTTATGTTGTTCACTGATTACAGTTAACTGGTTTGTAAGTGCTGTGCTCCTCTGTAAGACTGAGGTAGGCAACATTCTTGGTTTTTTTGAATGGAAGCATACATTCAAACTAAATTTCAGAGCTGTCCTTAAAAGTCTTTTATTATTTTTGTGGCTTTGTTTAACTCTATTGCTCAACTGTGGCAATGAATAATATTTCCTGTTCTGTAAGTAAGAGACTACATGAATATTTTTGTCTCTTACAGATTCTTTTAAGCTGTTTTTAGAAATCCACCTTTCTGTGGTTTTTGCAACTGGGACATGACATAGGAGAAATAAATACAGAAATACTGTATTGTAACCAAGGAAGATAGCTAAAAGGAAGAATGCAAAGTTCCCAAAGTGTCTGTGAGCGTGGTCACAATCTCTGTTACAGAACTTCAGTGTCTTTATTCTTGACTTTTGTTGTGACTTTGATAAGACAGTGGTTTTCCTCTTTTTTTAGAACTTGGGATACCGTCTTTGAACAAGATAAAAACAATGGATTTTAAATACCAGTGGCTGACATACCGAGTGCCATATTAGAGTTAAGACAAGAAACGCAAATACATAATCACAGAATCTTCCCTTTGGCAGAACAAAAGCCTGGCTTAAAATCTGTGCTGGCACTTAGTGATCAGTCCAGTCTTTGGCTTTCCAGTTTGAGCAAGGTTCTTGTAGGTGGTGATGAATGTACTGTTCTAAGACATAGATCCTTGTTTGTTTTTAGTTCAGTGTCGATTCTGAGGTGTGTGATTCACCACCACCCATCTGATTCCAGGGAGGTTTGGTTGAGATGTGAGAGACTGCTTAGCCTAGTACAGGTTTATCCCTTTAGCTCTTCACCTGCTCATTTTCCTTGTGTAGGCATAAAAGTAGGGTACTGGGTAAGGAAAGTCTCTCTGAAGGGTTGTAATAAAGGAAGCTTCAGTTCCACAGTAGAAATGCAATACTTTTTTTAAGCCCATCTGCTCTTACCTTCTATTTAAAGAAGTGAAATAATGCTTTAGGTACAAACAGTTGTTGCATTGTCTAGAGGAAGTTCGGTACCTTTGGTTTGCCGTCAGTGAGAAAAAAGCCTGTAAGAATTTTAGAGCAGAAGCATTTTTGCTGATGGATTAAAAAATTATCATTGATGTGTTTTGTAAATAAAAAAGTCTATGAAAAAACATTAATTGAATTTCTCATTTGCAGCTGCTGACCTTTTTCCCCCTCATAAATAATACTGCACTTGGAGAGTAGGAATTAAGTCAGTGTTCCTAAGCAGTGTGTGATTTTAGGCACTGTGGTCAATTCTTGTCCCATGTTCCTGTGGGAACAGCTCTCCCCACAGACTGTCCTGTCACCTGCCTACTTGGCCTGGATCTCTGAGTTTCTCTGGGACAGCAGATTGGACTGTGCTCTCCTGCTTGGGGGCTCAAACCTACCTTAAACTGGGACTGGTTTTGATTTCGGAATTGTTGTGTGAGCAGTGGTGTACGTGAAGGTATTTTGTTTCAACCTGTCATTGGATTTCAGACAACAATGAGTCTTAGCTTCTTTCTCAATTCCTCTGTGACTTTAATTCTGTTAACTTGTAGTTGCATTTCAGCTGTCCCAGTTTTATGCAGTTGGCCCGAGAGACAACACAGTCCTGTTTAGAGCCACGTTGTTTCTGCTCCCAGATAGAGTTGCTAGATGGCATTTTTGTTTTGTCTGGTACAGTGCCATCATTACCAGGGGCATGTGACAGAGGATTTGAAGGTAGGGAAGTAGAATCAGAGCCATCTTCACCTATGATGGGAATGTGAAAGCAAGGTACAGAGGGCAGGAAATGGCAGGCTTTTGTATCTGTGTTTTCCTGGAAGTAATGGAGCAGTAGGTGTTAGTTGAATCCCTGCATGGCGCTGGTGCTAGGAAAGGGAGGAGAAAGTGGAAAAAGGAGCAGGTTGGTGCAGTGGGAGGAGATGTGCCTGATCTCTCCTAGGCCCTCTGTTCTCCTGCTGCTGCTGCTGCGCTGTTGGAATCCAGAGCAGCCTGGCTGTTGGTAGTGACATGAACGATCCCTGTATTGTATTGTTCTAAAGCTGCACTAGTTCGTGAGTCATCCTTTCTGAAATACCAGATGTGATACTGTATTTCATGCAGCAAATTACTTTCTCTAAATTAATAGAAAAGATTAGACTTTCAAATGCACCAGGATATCTGGAGTACAGAATTACCCAATCTTTGAAGAATCAAAAGCCATGCACCAAAAATGTTACTTGTAAACCATTATTTTTATATGTTCTTCTGCAACGCTGCTTTCTGATCCACTTTCTGTTAGCCATATAAATAGCATTGATTATAAAGTAGTACTTGAGTAAAAAATAATTTTTTAATCTGTGTTTTTCTTTCAGGGCAATTAAAGCATTTCAGGAGGCGCTTTATGTTGATCCCAGCTTTTGTCGAGCCAAGGAAATTCATTTGCGACTTGGGCTTATGTTCAAAGTGAACACAGACTATGAGTCTAGTTTAAAGGTAGGTTTGAGTCCTTCCAAATTGAATTAACGTTTCCTGCAAGTTGTGTTGCATCTTAAAACTGGAAGACATAAGGACAGAGCAATTAAACACCACCTGCTATAGAAACAGAAGTGCTTTGGTGTGAAGCGTCTCTAAACGGAATAAGGATCAGATTTGAGGTGCTACATATACTCAGAAGAGTCCAGCAATATTAAATATGAGCACTGATACTCCAGAAGATCAAAAATTCAGTGTGAAGCTCTGGTTAAATTAGTGAACTGCATGGGGAGACTGAGGATGTACAGAAAGTTGAAGTAAGAAATAAAAGAATTAGCAGCTTGTATTACTTGATGATTTTTTTTTTTTTAATTTTTATTTTTTATTTCTGTTTTTTTCCCTGTCAACTGGAAGTTCTTAAAATTAGGAAAATAGAAAATTTTCATGCAAAATAATGTTCTCATATTTTTATATCATTTTTGCTTTTCTAGCAGGTAATCATTCTTTTGTTTCCTGGTTTGAGAGTCAGCTTCTAAGGCAATATTTTCTGGCTAATTAGTTTGGTATTATTTGTGGTAATACAGCACTTTGTTTCTTCTGTACTTCTTCAGATTTTTTACTGCTTACATTCTGGTTTGCTTTCTGATTGTAATCTGTCATTTTATCTCCCTCCATTTAACGAATTTGCCCGTTTTTTTGCCTTCTTGGCCTCTAAATTTAGCTCTGTGTGTCTTGGAGAAATGAAGTGGTTTTTAACAGAGCTGTGTATGCTGGGAAATAAACCTGCAGGGCTGAGAATTTTGTAATGAAGTGTAATTTATAACCATATTTCTGCATATTAATCTTTCCCAAAACCTACTGAAAACATTACATTTTTTGATGTCAGGAATCTTGTGGCACCCTTTCTTGTTTTTCTGGAAGTGATATTTGCAAGGCTGTCAGAATCACATTGTGCAAGATTTGAAAGAGTAGAGTGCTTTTCTCAATTTTTCCTTCCAGTATTTGTGATAGTGGGAACTATTTCTCTCATCAGGCTTCCTTTTTCATCCAGAGTCCAAGGTTTCACCTGCAGAGACGGGTAGAGTTGGAGATTGTGATTGGAGAGGCTGATTCTGCCCAGGAGTAGGAAAGATGATGTGCGGTGAATGGTGAAAGAGAGCACAGGGAGGCAGAGGTGCATCACTGTGTTGGGGAAGGGATTATGTGCGAGCTCGGGTGGTTCTGCTGCCTTAAACTTAGGGATAGATATAGTGTGTCCCGATGGATAGGGAATAAAAGAAATGCTGAAGTACTTTTTGGTGTTATTTTTAAAGAAGATTAAAAAAACAAGATTAAATTTTCAGGAAGGTAGTCATGTTTTAATCAAGTAGTAGAAGAAACTTCTGCATTTTAATTTTTGATACAAATTGATCAAGAAATAGATAACCTTTTCCTGTTGTGCCATAAAATTTGCAATTCTATCAGTGAATCAAGTATTTAAATAGATTCTATGATAATTCAATCTAAATAATTTACTGTGTTTGACGTTCACAACTTTGCAAAATAAATCAGTCCCTTATTACAAGGATTTTAAGCATACCAAACTCAAATTTGCAAAGCACCATCTACAAATAGGAAAAACACCAAAGTAGTATTTTGAGGACAGAAAAAAAAAATCTCTTTTAATGCAAAATTATCATGATTCTATTGCTTTTGTGTGGTTAAATCACAAAAACAAATGGCAGCAACAAAAACAGCTTACCCTGGGGCAGAGGGATGGTCAGACCTTCAGTTTCTGGTTTGCTTCCTTTGCTGTGGAGGTTGCAATCCTTAGAAGAGAATAACGGGGAGGAACAAGAAAGAAAAGACCAAGTGGAGCAATCCACTCAGTCCTGAACAGATTCAGCTGTTTTCAGCTCAGCTCAGCTGTGGGTTTAAGGTAGAGTCTGGAGACTGATCTACTTTGAAAGCAGAATGTTACTGATTGAAGCATACCAGTTCATACATCAGAATATGGCCATTGAGGAGTTGACTGCAAGTGCAGCAAGTGGGGCAGTAGCTTCTTTAAAAGCCAGTCTGACTGAGATTCACAAAAAACACCTCGAGCCAGAGCTCTGAGTGACAAGAATTTGAGAGGCAAGTCAGAAAATGCTTCCTTAGCGAAGAGAAGGAAGCAAAGTCCTGGTGCAGTGGTTATGCACAAGCATGGGGAGAATAAAATCAGGAAGGGGTATGATGAAAGAGTGTGAAAGGATGTTTTCACACAATGTCTGTCACGTTCTCTGACTATCTCATCTTTTTACAAAAGAAAGATAAGTAACCCAAAGCAATGAAAAGACACATTTGTCTTGTGCCTTTTTTTTTGTTTTGTGGATCTTTTTAAAAGGATCCAGGATTTTAGAGGACAGTTACTGGGTTTTAGGGTCCAGCCTGGCAGTGACTGGCCTTGAGCAAAGACCCTTTCCTGGGGCTCTTTGCCCACTTTGAGCTCCCCTTTTACACTGAGGCGGAAAGTGGAAGTAACTTTTTGTCTGGTATTCGCTTGTGACTGCTCTGGATTTCACAGATTGTACCAATGTTGCATTAATGTACTTTGAAATATCATAATGTTTTTGATGGTATTTAAACATTCATGTTAAGTCTGTAATTGCTAAGAATAAACCACTGCCAACAGATGAGTCATTGTCAGTAAGAGTCATTGTCAGTAAAAGTCTTCAGGCAAAGGGGGAAGGATGGGAGTCTGAAGGTCATATATTCCATGTTTTTCTCAATTTTGGAGCATTAACATAAATCATCTTGTATTTTATGTAAGCAATTTAAGCACAAAATTAATTTTTACTATTTTAAGATGTTGATGATCAAGATAATTGCTAGAGTGCTGTTTAACAAGCATAAAATCAACTCCCAGTGTTTTTTCAAAATCAATTACTGCTTTTGCATGTTTTTAACATTGCTGCAGTTAAGACTTGCAAATTACTGTGAGAACCCTTGACTGCTCCACTATCCCATTGCCATAAACTCTGGCAAGAACACCAGTGCTGTTGAAAATTACTTGGCCTTCGGGCTTACGAAAAAAAACAGTGTCCCTTCTGGTTGAAAAGAAAACAGTCCTTGTGTAACCTGACAGCTGGGGCAGCGTTACCTTCAGAGGGGATACACCAAAGCTGAATTTGCCCCATTCATCAGAAAAGTGCAGTTAATTCCAAAATCAACTGGCAGTGAGTTGGGGGATGGATTTTTTTTTTTTTTTTAATTGATTACTGTGTCAGCAAGATGCTGTTCAGGTTTACCTCACAGTCCCAACCTTTTCACAGTTTTCTACGTGTCCTGGTGCCTCTTTCTGTTCACCGTTTCCTACAAATGGCACCAGGAATATTATGTTTAGTGGCGGTAGCTGTGGTGGCACCGTGATGTCTGAGAGGACAGTGTAGAATTTGTACATACGGGAAAAAAGAAATATTGGTTTTTCGTATCTGTTGGAATGATAACACTGAGGGAGTGGTGCAGGGGAGGGGGTTTCGTTCTGGGAAATTCGTTCTGGGAGAAAAAGTTTGGAGATTTTTGGTGTTGGATTGTGTGTGGGTTTTTGTTGGATTTTGTTTGCTTTGTGGGTGTTTTTTTTAATAGGTGGTCAGTAGGAATGCTGGACACGACCAGGTTATTTTGTGGCAAACCAAGAAATGTTCTGCCGTGGGAATTTTATTTGGTTTTCACATATTACAGGTGCATCCTGTACCCGGTAACAAAACCCTTAAAAGAATGAGAACTAAATCTCTCATGTTTTCAATTATCTGCCTTTTAGTAGAAATAATGATTCTGCCTTTCAATTACAAAAATTTTTCTTCATTTTTTTATACACAAAACAGTTATTCCAATAGATTGCTTCAGGCTTATGCTTTCATCTTGCCCGTAAATCATCAATTTAAATATAATTTTAATTTTTTAATTATTCTTCTTAAAGGTTCTCATTTGTTAGTAATGTTAAAACATGCTGCTTATATTAGGATAAGGAAAAGGCTGCAAAAGAATTAAAATTTATTGGGAAAATGTGCATGAATTGTATGCATATGCATGAAATACGAAGAAGTTAAATACTGATATACAGATGAACAGCTTGAAGTACTTATTTATAATCAGTCAGACACTTTTCCATCACTTATTCAAATATTTCTCCTGTATATATATCTTTATGAAAGATATTTTTAGCTCCTGCAGCTATTGTATGCCAACATGTAGCTGTTGAAGACATATCATTCATTTTTTATGTACTTTTTCTGGGTAATAAGTAAACAAGTATTTATTAAAGTGAAAATTTGTGATATCAAGCCTTCAGGTGCTGTTTCACCACCTATTTATTTTCCATGTGTGCTTAGATTAGTAATTTTTAAGTGTAAGCATTGGACATTGAAATCTTCTGTATTTATTTCTAGTTATTAAAGAAAAATTAACTAGTCTAAATGAATGCACTTATGAGAAGTTTTAGTTGCTTAGATCTGGTTTTATGCCTGTAATTCTACCAGAAACAGCTTTTTTTTTTTTAATGTAAAAAAAAACAAAGTAAAGGGCTTCAGCTCTTGCAAGGTGGATATCCAAGATTTCACATGAAAAGCATTCTGTGGAAAGCAAGATGAAATGAGTCAAAAGATTATTTTAATTAAAATGTAAGTGGATGGAAAGCAGCATTTGGGAATGAAATTGCTCTCCAAGTCTTTGTTGTTTGCATGTGTGTGGGGGGGAGACATAGACAAGAAGTAAAACCATACATGTTTTTTAATGTAACGTGGCCCTGCAATCAAACTGCAGTGTGACTGGTTTTGACAGTGGGTGTTGATATCACATTGTCTGACCTACAGACTGTTTTCTTTTGTTCACTCTTACCTAGTTTTGCTTGGGTTTTTGGCTAATTGTCACGATTACGAGGAGAAGTAAGTGCTAAAGTTGAATTAATGTGCTATGTGACATCTTTGGTCATTTGGGAGGTGGGGAAGAACAAACCATGAGGAGATAAATCAAGTCGATTCAGAAACTGAGCATTCAGGTCCTAAGGAGTGTTTTTCCTGGTGCAAAAAACACATTCATGGACCTTCTCCTGGTGAGAGGTGTCACGGTCCAGGCTGGTCCACGTTTATGAGGTGTAACTCCAAGGTTGGCGTACAAGAATAGCTGTGTGGGCACAGATTCCCGGCAGGGACTGAGCTTTCTGTGCATCCTGGGCGGCTGTGTGGGCTGGAGGCAGAGTCCTGAGACGACCCCAGCTCCGGGCGGATCAGCTCCGCGGCGATGCCGGGGACGCAGCAGTGGTGGCAGACTTCCAGTCATCCCATTTCCCTGTGGCATTTTGTTGCTGCTGGCAGCCTTTCAGGCTTTCCTAAAGCAGGAATAGCTATATTCTGATGTTGCAGAAATAATGTATGAAACGTGCAGGCAGCGGTGAGCGTGGAGATGGCTTTGTGAAAATCGCTGTGTAAGATGCTGAGCAGTAAATGCAGATGCAGCCTTCTTTTGGCCGGTGAAAATACAGCTTGTGGGATTGTTCTGCTTGAAAATATTGTTTCTCTTCGGGCTAGGCAGAACAAGAGATTTTTCGGAGCACAGTGCTGCTATTCAGTGTATGTTGTATATGTGGCCTTTGTTCCCTCTGTCCTCAAGCAGCTTTGTTCTGCCCTGTCTGTGTAACAGTTTTCCCCCAGCCTTTTTTTTTTTTTTTTTTTGAATGTTGGACAAAAGTAACCGAGTGTTTACACTACACAAACCTTCATCTTGCGAGCTGAATTTGTTCTAATCTCAGAAGGCACTGGAGAGCAGCACGATGAGCTGCTGCAGCAGCGCTATAGACGTGTCCTCTCCTGACCTTCTCCCCTGGTCCCAGAGATCCCTGGCAAATGGAGGCTTGGCTCACTGCCCTGGCTGGTTATGCAAGGCTTTCTGTGTCCTACTTATCTGAACAAAGGCTGCTCTGAGGAACACGGGCATCACACCTAGGTCACATAGGCAGAAAAAGCCATCTCCTGACAGAATTTCACTGAGTCATGATGGAGCTTTGCTTCATGGTAAGTCGGTGAGAATTGTCAGGTTTCAGATGATGGCTTGCCTTGCTTGCTAAATAAATGCAGAACCGAGAGCTATTAGACTTGCTGATGTCATCCTGGAGAGGAGGAGGGAGTAGAATCACTGTTTTGAGGTCTCAGGTTTGGATGTAAACAGAGACAGTATTAAAATCTTGCACTGAGAAGAAAATGGTTCGTTTTTTGTTGGTCATTTGTTGATTAAAGAAACAACAAAAACTTGGGTACTTGTCTCTTAAATTGCAAAGAATTGGTCTTAATTCTAGTAGTGATAACATGTTAATGTAACCTAAGTCGGTGTCAGATTACTGTTATTTTACTGCCAGACCTAATGCTTTCATCAGTTCTGTTTATATGGAATCCACTGTTCCTCTGATCCGTGGAAAGGTTACCTGCAGAATCGTTTCCACAATCAGAGGCAAGTCAAGGACTCCAGAGGAGACAAAATAGTCTGTAGATAACTGTGCAATTACAGATGGCTACAAATCAAGGTGATCCAGGACCTGATGATCTTGAAGGGTCTTGTCTAACCTGAGCCATTCCCTGATTGTGGCTGGAGCCCGCAGCCCTTGAAAGAGAGGCTGTTGGTTTTTAACATTCAGAACGCTGCCTTCTAGGTAAATCCTCTTACCCGGGATTTGAATTTCTATAGACTGCTGTCTGCCTTGAGGTATTGTGTGTCGTCTCTGAGCTGCAGCGGCCTCTCCTGCATAACAACTATTCCACACAGCAGCAGCAGCAGCAGCAGCAGCCTCAGTGCTGCAATATTTGAGAGAGGTGCAGATGTTTGCCAGCCGCTGCTGTTGGTTGCAGAAATGGAAGTTGGAAATTATTCCCTTTTTTTTTTTTTTTTTTTTTTTGGTGATTGTGATTAGTGGATCTGCTTTTGGCTGATGAGGTTGATGTGTTAAAATGCATGCATGGGTTTGGTTGGTTTTTTTGGTCTGATTTGGAATACTTAACGGGGAGCTATGTATTATTTATCCGGCAAGAGGTGTAGGTTTGCTCATGTATGTGCATTTCAGAGGTTCTTGGTTTGAAAGGTTCTGCGGTTTCTGTGGATTGCTTTTAATTGTGGTAATTATTTCGTGCAAATGGTGTATTTTCCTTGTAGTTCCTGCTTTGGTTTATCAGTTTATTTACTGTTTGTAGCTCAGTGAACAGTCCTAGTAAAAATTTTCTACACTTAAAAAATTTACAGGATGTGGATTTTAAAATACAGAACTCGGCGAATGTAACAGTGGAAATTTAAATTTTTAGGAGGCATTGCTGAGAACATTCACGCTATTTTTTTGTACTGTATATCACATACTATTGGCATATTTATATATTAAAATGGTTACATTTTCTTATATGGTTGCCTGCCTTCTGTCATTGAGTCTCTCTGCAATAACCCTCCTGAAAAGCTCCTACAGAACAGTTGTCAATTGTTTCTCTTTAGATCTGCTTATTTTTTATAATAGCATTGCTAGGTGAGAGCAGATCTGTTCCTTTCTGCTTTAGCTTCTCGTAGTAATTGTAGGTGACAGTGCAAGATGACACATCTGTACCAGAAGGATTTTGTACCTTTTAGATCGAGAATACTCAGTGTACAGGCCAGAGTGGTGGGGTTTTTTTCTTCTTTTCTCAGGTAAAATGCAATTTAAAATAGAGCATTTTATTTTTATTTAGTCCTTTTTTTTTTTTAAAGTTGCCTGCTTAGTAGAGTCACTATGGTAACAGACTAAAGGATGTCTCTGAGGCACTCAACCTGCATTGCAATGTAAGTGAGGGGAGACTGTAAGTTGTCTGACTGCTGAACAGTAGAAAAAGGAACAGGCACAGCAGAGAAATAAGATAATACTTATAAGCTATTATTTACTGCTTGCTCTAAGGTTAAAAAGTGACTTCACAAGTAAAACATATGTGAGTTCACTGGGTTTTGTGCTCACTTCTGGGGATGACATTGATGAAATGTTCATTAAAAGTCATAAATTTGTGTTATCATTCTACTTGAGTTTGTTTTCTTTTCAAAGGCTATTATATATTACTAATGATGATGGAAGTCAGTGAGGAGTGAGCTGCATCAGTGTGTGCCTCACAGAGATCATTAAAGCCATCAGCATTCTTTTTATGCTGTGTTATGGATAATACGTTAATTTTCTAATATTTTTTCTGTTAAAATTAGGGCTTCTTAGATATTTGTTTGTCTGTTAAATTGTTCTAAATCTTTGAGATGTGTTACATAGACATGCTATGCACAAGGTATTATTAGCACGTGAGGGAAGTTGGGTAGTATCTAGTAGTAGCTCTGAGTGTGACAATACTGAAAGTGATTTGTGTATACATGCATTAATAAGGATTATGTTTTTCTTCCCAGCTGCACCAGGAAGCTCTTGATGCCACCTAATTTGGCATCCTGAATAGTCTGACCTAAAATACCATTTTTGTGCTAGCAAAACAAAATATACTAAAGCATCAGTCATGTTTTGAGTATTAAAAGCCACCCGAAACTGCGTTTTGCAGATAACTCTATTAACAGTAGTTCTCTGTTGTTTTAATATATTAATCCAATTTCTACACTGTGTAGGGATTTTCTCTGAATTTTATGGAAGAGTTCAGAGGCACTGGAGTTTCTGTGCCTGTTCCATTCGTTATAACTCACTTGTCTCTCAAACTGTGAATAGTGATCAGTAGATTAACATGACATTTGTGAAGTGATTGCTCACATCCAGACAGACAGACTTCATTGCTCTGCTTTTGTGACCTTCTTTCTAGAAGAGTGCAGTGTTTGCCTCAGAACTTAGAGGCTTTACAGTCTATAATGTTTAACTGAAGTTATCTTAATACCTGAAGAAGCAGATGTAAGAACTTAGGAACTCCTTATGAACTCGTGTTTTACGGTAAAGGTATTTGTATTAAGTGCTTTTTGACAAGAGTTCAGTTTTTAAAGGCTTAAAATCACTGAATTTGAAGGGTGTTCTATTTTTTTCTAGATAGACAGTTGGAGAGCTTTGCTATTTCTCTCCACAAGAGACCATTCATTGGGTGCCATCATTCTTCCAGGTGCTGTCCCAATGGTTTTGTGAAGATGACTGTTGCCATCTTACATCACTACAGGCATTGTTGTGGTTGCAATAAAAAAAAAAATTACTTTCCTCTGGTAAACAATTGAACAGAAATTGAAAATGGTTTTCTTTTAAGACACGTGGTAAAATGCAGTATTGATTTTCAAGTACAAAATTGATTTACTTTGCCAAACTGTGCTAGTATTACTTTGTTTGAAAAAGCAAATAATTCTTTTTTTTTTTTTTTGCAGCATTTTCAGTTAGCTTTGATTGACTGCAATCCCTGCACTTTGTCTAACGCTGAAAGTAAGTAACCTATAAGTATTTCCATTTATTTTGTTGTGGATTTTTTTTTTTAAGTCTTATGCTCACAACTGTATCAGTTTTTAATGAACCAATTCTTCAAAATCAAAAGAGGTACTGAGAGGAAAAAAAGGTGCTGAGAAAGGGAGGCTACAGAACCTCTCTCCATCTATCAGTGGAGACAGATGTTCCAGTAGAATTGGGGATTGTTTCAGTAAATGGAATAAGTAAAAATTGAGGCTTAGCTTGCTCATTGCTCTGAAGGCTTGAATTCTGGAGGAAACGTACAATTTGACTGTTTTTTTATTTATTTATAAACACAGTGTTTGTGCCATGGCACACACTTAAGACTTATTATTTAAAACTTTGTGGCATCTTGATTATTTGTCAATTTTCAGTGGTTATTTTCATGCCATTTAAATTTATAGATCTAAAATTCAGCATCGCTCCTAAGCTGTAGAAATAAGAAAAAGTAATAAACTTATTCGATTTTTTTGTTTAATTCGTTGCCGACTATATATTAGTCTGTACTTGAACACGTCAGTCTTCGGTGCAGTGTGATCTGTCATGTGCAGCATGGATTGCAGGCTGTTACAGAGCATCCTGCAAGTATTTACCCATAGTCAGTGGAATTCTTATGCAAGGATAAGTGTATGTTCCTGCATGTTTTGGAGTCTGTAAGGATTTAAAGGCACAGAGTTGTGAAGGAAATTGCTCCTTCAGGTTTTGAGGTACCTTCGTGCTGTTGAGCTTAAGGTACCTCCTAAGTCTCCCTTCAGAAGCGTTGGATAAAATATTTAAAAGCTTTTCTCTTAGAAGTGGGTGGAATTGTGAATATTCTGTCAGCAAGGGCATTGAAAGGGAGTTTGTTTACCTGGGTGAAACCACTGGCTCTATCAGCACCGAGGAGACAGCTGTGCTCCAAGGTCTTCTTCAAAGCTTTGTCTCACTTATCAGGAACAGGCACAGATAATTCTGTCAAAATTTGCAGAATCCTCCCTAAGTCAATAGGCTTTTATTGTTTTTCTACCAGACACGTGATTCTTTAATTACATTTCATGTTGGTTCCTATTCTTTCTCACTGAGTTTATCGGTTTTCACTGTATCTCTGAGTTTTTGTAAGGTTTTCCTAACCCTTCCCCCACAGCTCCTCTGCCCCCAGATTTGTGCAGAGGGGTGGCCTCATGTGAAGGCTCCACTGCCCCGTGGCAGCATTGAGTGTGTTCCTTGCAGAAATGTTTGACTATTAAGCATGTCTTCTTCCTACTTGAGCAATCTCTAATGTGATACCTTTAATTTCTTTCCCTTACAAGGCCTGACGTCGCTTTGGAGTTTCACACTGAAAGGGTTTTGTTATGGGGGGAAAAAAATTAAGAGAGATTTTCTAGATAATGAGCCCCTGAAACAAAAGCAGGGTTTTTTCTTTCATCGGTACAGAGTGAAGTTTGACGATGTGGTGAACATAATGGGTGTGTTACGTGTCCTTTAGCAAGGAGCACAAAAAGTTTATTAAAATTTTAAGTGATGCATTTCATTCTGACCTGGTTTCCAAAGTGCACCCAGCTTTCTTCTTTATAGTGAGGGACAAAGCAGTGCACAAAGGGAGATTTTCCCCTCCCTTATGACCCAGACAGAAACCCTGAAACTCCAAATTACCTGTATGGTAATTTGGTGTCACACTATTCTGTAGCTTCAAGGGAAGGGAATCTGAGTAATTGAAACAAATTGAGCTTGGCTCAAACACAGGTATTTCCTTACTTGTAATCCTCAAGAACGTCAGGCAGAAGTCTGTCTCAGAGGAACTTTTCTTTCCTCATCAAAACAGAATAAGGATTGCATTCATCTCAATTAGCTTTAGGTATCTACCGTTCCACGGCTGGTCTAGGGCAGCAGTTCTCAAGCCTTTTCTGTAATGATTTGAGCAGCATGAGGATAATTCTCCCTCTGATTTTGCTCCTAAACAACTTTCATTTTTCTTTCTCTAGCCAGCAATTTTCTTACCTCCTAGAGATGCTGATAATATTATGGCATTCTGTGCAATTTGTGTGAGGAATTGAAGATGCTTAACAGTAACGATCAGAATATCATCTGTAATTAACACTTTGAGTTCAGTTTCACAGGGGAGAGACAATGCCTGGAAAGGAAGAAAAAAAAAATCTAAATTTAAGCTGGCAGTGTATACCATAGTTTTCTGTTCCATATCCCAGATAGTCTGTCTCTCTGCAGTTGAATGAAAATCTTTATTTCTAAATCAGTTATGTACAGAAAAAATTACCTGTGTTCTCTTTTTGTGCATCTCTACCTAAAGAGATTTTATTGCTAAATTTATCAAAAGGTTAATGGACTCTGTGTTTCAGAATACAGATAAAATCCATGGGCTGCCTTTCTGCAATATCTCTGTACATTTTTCATGCTTTGTTAGGATACATGCTCATCCTCTGTCAGGTCTGGTATATTAAATGTAAAATATTAATGTAAACAAATATATTTCTTATATCTTCAAAACGTAATTTGTCTGTTTTGCATCAATAAGTTTGAAATGTCATTTAGTCCTCTCTTGAAAAAAACATGTTGTTGTTGATTAAAACTAATAATTTTGATTTTCCCACTCTTACAGTTCAGTTTCACATTGCCCACTTATATGAAATCCAGGTAAGCTTTAAGCTCATAGTTATAAAGTGTGGTTAGTTGAGTTTTGAACTATATGATGTAGTTGGTCTCTGGAATTCAGATTATAGATGCTTTAGTAAAGTTAGACTTAAGTCTTGAATCACTAAAGAAACTTTATTTGCTTTGGCTGAAGTAAAAATATTTTGTATGTGGACTGTCGTGCTGTAAAACGGAGCAGCTATTTTAATAAACATGTTTACTGTTCTCCCAAATTAAGTGCAAAAAAAAAATCCCAAAATATAACTTTTAGGAAAATTCTCTTATGAAATTATATTCATATTTAAGAAGTTTCTCAGTTCTTAGATACTCATATTGTATTTTACATATACACATGTACACATAGATCCAATTCCAGACAGTTGCCCACGTGCCTTTTAAGTACATGTGACATGGAATGTTCAAATTCAGTTTTTCAATTTTCAAATTTAAGTGAAGATATGTGACATTTGTAATCTGAGGTCAACAGCACATAAAGCTTATTAATTCTGTATCAAATCCTACCGTGAAATTTTCTAGGTGAATCCCTTGGGAAATTATAGAACATTCCCTGAGCTTCCAGAACACAAGTAAATCAAAACCAAGTAGCTACTGAAGTAGCTATTGTATATTTGTAATTTGACTGACTGGTTATATAATCTAGATTTTGTGCCCTTCTATCATGTTTATAGGTATCATATGACTGAGGAAGGGATGTGGCATGAAAACAAAACCAGTTGTAATCGAAATGGATGACAGACATAAACTGTATTTTCAGTCAGTTGGAAAGTAGCTTGATGAAGTGCGTGCTGTCTTCTGATGGCACAGTGAAAAATGGCCTTAGGTATTTATATATAAATAAAAGATACAGATCTGACAAACAAAACGCTTTTCTTTTGAATGCTTTTGGTGCAAGGCTGCATGAGAGGACAGAAATCTCCTGTCCCAAAGCACCATTTACCAACTTCTTGGAATGTTATGGTTCTTATTTGGCCACCATCCAGATTTCATCCCGGGCACTGGAGCACCTCTGACACGTTTATGTGACAGAGCATCCTCAGTGCATTAGTTCTGTTACTCCTGGCAGATCAAAAGCAAGTGGAACACCTCAGGTCACCATCTCAGGTGCCCTGAATAGTTGTGTGACCAGTGCTGGTGGTGCTTAAACTGTGCTTTCTGACTGACAGCCACAGGCAGCAGGAACTTCATTTTACTGCAAGCCAGAGCAAAAAGGTTTCAGTGGATTCTGCTGTTAGATTTGTTTTGTCTCACAGTTCTGTTGGGAGGGATATCTTGTCTTCTGGAATTTGAGAAACTGAGAACCATAGGGGTCCTGACTTCTGAAAATTACCTCTGACACAATGAAGAGAGGTTTTGGAGACAGGCTGGTTGCTTGGTTTCTTTTACAGGACACAATGAAACAGGTTTTTTTTAACTCCTCCATGTATTTGAAAATTACCTGTTCTCTGATATTGTAAAAGTTAATTCATTCCTTAATTAAGTACCACAGTACTGGAGTTTAAATGATGGGTTGCCAGCCTCTGAACAAGAGATGAACCTGGTGCTGATAAGAATTGGCAGTGGTTTTCCTGGTGTTTAATGCCAATTTCTGTTATTTCATCTGTGGCAGTGCTTAGGGGAGCTTAGAGGGTGTCTAAAGCGAGATGCTGTGTTTGGTTCTCCTCCCCTTTTGCATTTCTAAGACCGTTCATGATGCAGCCAAACATCAAAGACTTCAGTTCTTTGGAATTAGCATACAGATATAAGGGAGAAGTTCTTCAGTGGCAGGGTGGTGAGGCACTGGAACAGTTCCTAAAGCAGCTGTGACTGCCCCATCCCTGGGAGTGTTCAAGGCCAAGTTGGGTGGGGCTCTGAGCAACCTGGCCTAGTGGAAGGTGTCCCTGCCCATGGCAGGGAGGTTGGAATTAGATGATCTTTAAGGTCCCTTCCAACCTGAACCATTGTGATTCTATGAAATACAAGCAAAAAATACTCTGGATCTGAAAAACATGCTTTATTTTAATAGATATTTCTGAATCCTCCCAAGCATGTAAACATCTTTTTCAAGATGTGAATATTAGGCACTAAGATTTACTTGTCTGACATCTGGATTGCTGCCTCTGCTCTCATGCTTTACTGTGAACCTCTGTTCATTTGCTTATTCATAGTCATAAACTACAAATTTTTTTCCCAATGCTAAATTTAAAGTTTTTTCCTGATTGTTTTTCTTTTGCTGGACATGGATATTTTATTTATTTATATTATTTGTTTTCTTACCAGTTGTCTGCATTTCATGAACACCAATTAAAAATCTTTCCTACCAACTTCCCCTTGTTCCATTTGAAAGTATGTAATTGCTGCTTTAATTTTTCTTCCTGACTAGAATAAGGTTTTAAAATCACCAGACTTGTCTTTTGTGATTCTTGAGATTTCAAGAACCTAATAGCATTTTTAACTTCTTCTGTTAGGTATTTATATTGTTTAGAGTCCCTTTTAAAACACCAGTACTCATTACTGTGCACTCTGTGCTTAAAAAAAAAAAAAGTAACTAAGCCACAGTCATTTGCATTTAGGTGGCCCCATTTATTTTAATGTGCTCTTCATCTGTTTGCCTGGATGAGGTGTAATGTTGAATTATCTGAAAGCATATCTGTGGGAGAGGAGGAACAGAAGAACTGAATGTTTAAATACATTCACTGTTGAGCGATTATGGTTAGAAAACGCGAAGATAAATGCTGATATTATTACCAAATAATTCATCTGTTGAGAAGTCTTAGCCTTTAATATATACAAAATAGCTCATACTGTTCAGAGAAGTTGATAAAGATCCCAATCCTAACCTGGAAATGTGTTTTCTGTACCAACACCTGTTTGTATAGGGAGTAATGAATTGAGTGTTTCCAGGCTCTAAGCACACTTAAACTATGTAGTAGATAATAAAATGGCATACCTTCATTACCTAGGCATAGTCCTTTTAATTTTACATATGGTGGGACTCTTACCAGGACAACAAATATGGTGAAAGAGGCAGCTCAAATATACCAAAGGAAGGAAAGAGGCAAAATTATATCAGACACCAGTCTTGGTTTCTGTTACAAATTTCCTGGGAGCAGTTGGTGGAGGGTTTTTTCAGATGTACACTCACATTGAAGTAGTCCCCTTAAAAGCAGAACATTCATTTTAGAGTAAAAAGCATAATGCATGTATGAGGAGTTGACCAAATTTAATAATCTTCAAATTTCTCTCAATTCTTTTCAGTATATTCTTAGTCAGTTTATAATAAATACTATATTTATGGAAGTTATTCTCCTACCCTCTATATATGTCACTCATTAAAGCTTTCATATGCACTGTATGCAAAAAAAAAATTCTAGAAATTTTTGTCAATGTGTTTGTGTGCTGTCAGTGCTGTGAAATCGTTGCTATTGGTGATCTGTTGTAAGCTCTATGATTAATCCATTTACTTTTTTCCTTTTGCAGAGAAAGTATCACTCTGCAAAGGAAGCTTATGAACAGCTTTTGCAGATCGAAAACCTTCCTGCACAAGTAAAAGCAACTGTCTTACAGCAGTTAGGTATGTAAAATTAACTTTTATTTTTCCTCTGTGTTTCGTTTTTCCATCTTTGCCTTCAGCAGTGTTGTTTAAGGCTCCCTTTCCAAACGAGCCTTAGACACACTGAGTATGATACGAGAGGTTTTTCCACCCAATATAGAATATGTAACAGTAGATAATTAAGTAAATAAGAGAGGAGGAAAATAATTAAACTTAGAAAATTAAAAAGCTCCTAGACTTGCTGCAGTCCGTGTGTTACAGATTTTGAGCAATGAGGGGGTGGGTTTTCAGAGAAAGAGTGCAGCAGTTGGAATTCTGTGTTCTCTGTTCTGCCTCCAATAACATCCCTTGAAAAGCCAGGCTAACTGCAGTAAACCAAAATACTCTTCTCTATTGCAGACTAGAAGAACATGGCAACTGAAAAATTTACCTTTTCTTTTTCTCTAGTTATACTATGTAATGAAAACCTCTTTGTGTAATTAAAAGGTTTATCATCATATTCTGTAAAAGAAAACACATTAAAAAGTGAAAAGGAATTATTTTTTTAAAAAACGATCGTTTTCCATTTTTATAGAAAGCTGCTAAATAATTTTTAGACTAGAATTTCTAGTGGATGCGTAAAATAGAACACTTGTGTCCTATATACCTTATAAAATATTTCCAGAATATTTTTTTAAAATTATTCAACCAAGCGTGAAACTTCCTCATTCACCTTCTCCATGTTCTTCATCTAATTTATTATTCTAAAAATTAATTTAGCCTGCTTACACTCATATTTTTTTTTTGGTTTTCCACTTTACATAGTGGTCATTTAACTTGAATTTGTAACTGGCACAAAGTTGTGGCCGCAGTGCTTTCTTTTTTTCTGTAATGCAGGTTGTATATGGATTTGGAGTGGGATAATTTGTCTTCTGTGACAAAATGTCAAAATCAGTGGGCTAATTTTGAGTCATCTGTGTATGAAATCAAAATGAAACTGTGGGAGGAGTTCTGTGCAGGACTCTGGGTGCTGCTCTTTTTGCTGTCACAGGGCTGTGTTGCTTATATTTCAATAAGCCCTTTGAGTTTATTTTTTTAGCTTGGCATTATGTCACCAAGCATAAATTGTCAGCAGTTTCATCCAGAAGGGCTGTACATCTGATCAGTGGAAGACAGGCTTCTCAAAAGAGCTGACCAGTCCTTTTTCAGCTCTGTTTGATGTATGTTGCCACAATAGAAGCAAAGGCACATGGCCGTATTCATAAAACCCTGCCACAGGTCTCTGTGCGAACAGTGAGAGCAGTGACTTTGAGAATTGTCTGCTGTCTGAAAACTGGATTAACTGTCTTTATTCAAGCAGTATAGGTCACCCAGTTCTGTTGTGTGGGTGTAGCTTCTCTGTGGAGAAAGGGATAGAGTGGTCTTAACCAGAACATTCAAGGAATAATACCATTTCTTCTTCTCTTTTCTGTTAACAGTAGTGTTTATCAGTGTGGTGTTTATCACAGATTTAGTCTTTAGCAGCCGTGACTGTGGAGGAGAACCCTGTGATTCCCAGATAAACACACACCCAGTTAAGCTGATTTGTGCTGACTAGCTCAGGTAGACATAACAGTAAGATCTCTGCAGTTAGATAAGAGCAGTTTCTTCTCTTTTTTGCTATTCCGGACAACAATTCTCTTCACCGCTTTGCCCAAAATTACATTAAATTAATGAGACTGAAGATCTAATCTGTCTCAGTATTCTTTCTCCAGTTTTACTCAGCTGTTGCATAAGAAAGAGTGCAACTACAACATAAGCATCTGCTTAGAGATTCCCAAAGCAGTCTTCCATTAATTTTTGGCTAGGGGCGTTCCTAGATGGTGTCCATGTAATTGGATGAGACATCACGAGGTGCTGGAATGGAGAAGAGCTTCATCTCCTCAGAGACAATGATGTTTACTGGGGAAAAGTGAGTGCCACAAGTTCAGCATGAGAGTGGCTGATAAGCATTAAAAAGACCACTCTACCACAAGCACATCAGAGGGATTTGTTCCAAATGAGGTTGTGAAGAACTGGGAAAGAGCACAGGATATTTGTGAAGTGTGGACAAAATCTGTGGGTCTGTTTATCATATATTAAAAATGTCTCCAGGAGTGGAAGAGTAATCAATATGCTGGTTAAGAAATGGGGTAAGGTCTTCCAAGTGGGAAGCTGCACAGCTGTCCAGGGGTTTTCCATCACCACCTTTATGTATGTTCTTCACTTCATGCACAAGAAGAGCAGATGTAGTTTCCTTTACCCGTGCTATTCTAGTGGAAAACTTTTGTTCACACTCCTCCTGCTTTCTGCCTTTTTCACCTCCCTGCAGAGAAAGATAAATCTGGGAAGCAACCCTTGTTTCAGCAGTGAAACCAGATAGGGATTGCTGGTTCTCATTTCTGTCTCCTAGAAATAGATTTGTTCTTTTTATCAGCGAACCTCAGTAAAGATCTCCTGAAGATACAGCATGTTATCTTTCAATCCAGAAAGATTCTGATGAAACAGAAAATAGGCACACAACATTTCCAGAGATACAGGAAATTGTTTAATGTCTTTTTTTACCCTTGTTTGTAATCCCTGAACTATTATCTTCATCTCAGGCTTTGCCTGGCACAGCACCTGATACATATATCCTTAATGAACAGTTACACAGGTGAATTCTGATAACCAACCTCACATAAGCCTTTTTTCTTAAAGCATGAGTATCTTCTGTTTTCTTAAGAGCATCAGTGACTTGGGATTTGAATCAAAAGCTACCTTGTTTACTAACTTCATGACAGAAAGTTGTGTATGTTTTATGTCTCTGCAAAAATCCCTGGGTTTTCTTACTTCCTTTTTTTGCCCTGATCCGTAGAGTTCTGACTTGATTGATTTTCAGTCAGGATAAAGTACTTTTTTTTTTTCAGTACTATAACCACTTGACTCCTAACCTGACATTTTTTGCAGTCCGTGAAATATTTGAACTTTTACATGTGACCACAGTTTCCAAGTGATATTTCTTAAAACACCTCAGGCAGACGTTGTTCGGTAGATGTGATTTTATTTTTTATTGCCTTTGTTAAAGCTTGGAAGTTTGCAGAAATGTTGTGGTGTCTGTTAACAACTGTGAGCCCAAGGAATAAAGAACAAACTGTATACAACAGGTAGAATGAAATACTTAAGGTATAGTCTAATTACAGAGAGTGAAGTAAAGCTACAACTACTCTTCAGATCAGTTCTCAGTCTTACCTACTTTTTCTGGCATTTCAGATGAGATCTGATCCTTTGGTATTACCTTGTAGTTAGACTTCATCAGAAAGCTTAGGTAAGCTTAGGGTGCTGAAGTTCAGCTCACAGAGCTTTTAAATGGACGTACAGTGCAGGTGTGTGTACAACTCTGTAGGTAATTAGAGCTTTATTTTATGAAATTGGTATCACAGTGTCCCACAAGGGACCATGTATGGGTGGGACACTGTAAATACATAGGGACAGTCCTTTGTCACATCTTACGTTTTACAAATGGCTGAAAAGCAGTGGGTTGTTCAGAAAAATACGTGGATATTGAGGGAACAGCCAGACGTTGCTGAGCACTGCAGTGATTTCAGCAAACCAGCTGCCTGCCACAGAGGATTTCCTTGTTTGCACTCCTTGTATGAGCAGCAGTGAGATGGTTTTGTGGCTGCTTGAAGGAATTCCATCTGAGCTTGGAGGCAGATGAGGAGCAGCTTGAGAAGATGATGAAGGTGCTTTATTTGGAATGGTAACCAAGCCTTGTGTCAGTGCCAGAGCAGAGATGTGTTTTAATTGCATGTAAAATACTATTTGGGAGTAAGGATTGTGGGAGGCCTTTAAAGTGGGCATGAATAACTTGTCTAATGTAATGAAAGAAGAAGAGGCCTTTGAAAGAATATGATGTGTGGTTAGATGAATTTGTTACGTAGATGAGAGGTGATGGCATTTGTCAAGGTGAACAGGAAGGATGTTGTAGTAATGAAGATGAAATGACAGCGTAAGAAACATTTAAGTGGAGATGCAAAATTTCTTAGTACAAATGTAGATACAGGTCAAATATGAGGATTTAGAAGAAAAGGAGTAAACACAATATGTAGATGTTATATGTATATATATATTACATAATTGATATGTGTGACAGAGAGAATGGTGGTGGCATTTTTCAGTGTCTGGGTAGGTGTCTGTGTTCAGAGGAGGAGAGAGTTAACATTTTCAGATTCACTTTTTGTGGTAGAAGATTGAGGAGTTCATAATTATGCTACTAACCTCATAGAAAATTATTTAAACAAAAAAATACCCTTTAACAGTACATTAAAGTGATTTTAACTTTGGGTCCTTTCTTAGGAAAGAACTTTAAAAGTTTTTAAAATTTCATTCGTAGTATTATATGTAAGTGATGTTATTGTTTGGTATTCCTGTTTTTAAAGAGACACTAATGCTAGGAATATCCTGCTGTGCCAAAGTATTAAATGGTCTTGGGGAATTTCACTTCTGCCATTTATGGATTCTCTTTGTAGGCTGGATGCATCACACCGTGGATCAACTTGGAGACAAGGCAACCAAGGAAAGCTATGCTATACAGTATCTCCAGAAATCTCTAGAAGCAGATCCAAATTCTGGTCAATCCTGGTATTTCCTTGGAAGGTGAGAAAAGACTTTATAGACACTGTAACTAGATTTGTAAATTTTTTTGAGGATACTCGTTACTGTGGGTAACTCACACTCTTTTTCTTCTTAATCCTTTCAGAGGAAAAGGGAAAGGATATATGAATGTACTGAAGTCTAACATTTTCAGGGAAGTGTATAAAAAGACAAGGTGCTAACATATTTGGGATGAATATAGATTAGAAGTTGAAGTATGTTACCCAAGTGGTCCTTCTTTTTTTTTTTTTTTAGTTATTATTCAGTCTGCACATTTACAGCAATCTGAATATGCCCTGCCTGGGGGGCATTTACAGGAATCTGAATATGCCCTACCTGTTTCTCGTCCTCCTCCCACATCTTCTGTTCTCTCTCTCTTTTTTGTAAATGGTCACAGTTCTTTTGCTCTTTATTTTCTCAGAATCCCCCTCCTAATCTCAGTCAGTTTTTGCACTAAAACACAAATATCTTCCTAGGTATACATCCACTTAAAAAGTAACTGCACATTAGGCCATAGCTCAGACTAATCCATTCTAATTTCTATTTGAGTGTTCTGTAATTTTGTACTTTAGGACAGTATTTTTTACTTGAAAAGTAACATCCCAGATATAAGTCATATCAATTGAATGAGTTTTCTTGGTCTCCTTTTTAAGAAAATAGAGTACCTTTACAGAAACAAGCTATAACTATTGAAATAATGAGGTTTTGGAGAAAGCTTTGAGGACAATTCAAGTCCATATAAGAACAGGCCAGTTCTCTTGAAAAATGCAGCAGAAAAGAATGAGGCAAAAATAAAATTAATATCCCAGCCCCAGTATCTTCCAGGCAGTGTTCTTGGAGACTCTGGTGACATACAACTGGAACTTATTTTTGGTTTTGTCATGCTGATTCTTCCAGCTGTTCTGTAGGACAGGGCTCTTCAGCCAGCTTTGTGTAGGCTGAGGGAGGAACACCAGCACTGAGTTGAAAGGCAAAGGGCAGATGAGGAGGGAAAAGGGAAAATGAGCCAGGGATCATCTGGCTCATCTGATCTTCCACTGGGCCGAAATCCTGTTTTTTAACTCAGTAGTCCCATTCCACCTGCCTTGAGTTGAGTTCTTAGGCAGCAGGACAGAGCCAGGACTCCATGAGCTGTGTGTGTGCAGCTGCTCTGCTCCAATTCCTGCAGTGCCACAGCTTGGACGTGGTCACAGTGAAACCCAGGACCCTGCAGACACGGGGGCGGGGGGCAAATGCTGGAAATGGGGTGGAAAATTTAGTTGGAGCATCTCTTAGACTCTGCAGGGAGAACTAGAGCAAAAATGTTTCTGTGCTCCATTTCTCTCCATTGCATACGGTGGCAGAAGAGCAAAGAAAGTTTTGTGGGGTTGTGCATTTACTCTTTTTCCTTTCTCATGTATTACCTTGTGTTACTCCTTCCTCTGCTGGTTGTCCAAACTGGAGACTAAGTTGGTTTAAATCTACCTTCAAAAACATACCACCCTCCTCTCCACTGGAAAAACTCCATCACCCTAAGTTTTGTTGGGGGCCTCCTGTTAGTGCTGTTCTAATGAGAGGCTTTATTTATCTGATAAGCAGATTGAACAATGTCTATTGGAAATTGGGTTAGACAGTGATTAAACGATCTTCTGAAACATTGTATTCAGACTTAATGGATGTTTTTGGGCGAAGGAATGCTGTGGTTTACTGTATTCCTTTCCTTGTGTGCTTCAAGAACACTTGAAAGAGTGTAGCATGTTTGACAAACCTTTGCCTGTACTGTTCTATGTGGTTTTTATTTTTTACTGGAATAAATTTTCTGATGTTATTTACGTGTTTTGAAAGTTGTCAGTTCTTTTTGCAACAGTGAAACTTGTTACAAACAATGTAAGACTCAGCTATTACAGATTAAAGTAGTAAATGTATATATACAGATATCTGATCTTGGCTGTATTTGAAGCTTTTGATTTTAAAACAGTAGGTATTATTCCCTATGGTATAATTGTAGTTCTCTTTAATACCAGAATACCTTTGAATTTGTATGTGAAAAATAATAAAGTAAGAAATTATAAAAAAATTCAGAGTAGCACAGTTTGGTGCTCTGTATGTGCAGTACAAGTAAGTGGCTTGGTTTTCATTATTTGAATATTATTGAGATGCAAGAAATGCACATAAAAACTTCCCAGGCAATCAGGAACCATCCTGTTTGAGTTGGTCAGTGTCTCCCAATAATTCTGTCTTGTAGAATGTTAAGTTTTATAACCATTTGTTGGATGAAATAGGTAACTGGTTTCTTTATAATGCTGTCTGTAGATAAACATTGTTCTTATTGACTGATAAGCTATCAATCAAGGGAAAGAAATGTAAATCTTTCAAATATGATATGACTGTTTTCCTTACAAATGCAGTGAGGTAGGGTTTAAGTGGTTTTGGTGTACTTCTCAACTATATCATTAGTAATACATGTTAAGATGTTTTAGTCTGCTTATGTCTGGCATTCAGAAACAGCAAGTGATGAATGTGTGTGTTTGCATGACTTGGCATTTATCAAAACAGTCTTGGTAAGCCATCCTCAATGATTACCTTCTATAAATATTACCAGAGTTCTTTTTTTCTTTTTTTTCTCCCAGGTGCTATTCAAGTATTGGGAAAGTTCAGGATGCCTTTATATCCTATAGGCAATCTATTGATAAATCAGAAGCAAGTGCAGATACATGGTGTTCTATAGGGTAAGAATGATCCAGAGTAATACAGTAATATTATTCCATGCTTATATATATATATATAAATAAAGAATATCAGCTTTTTAACTATTTTGTGTGCTGAGAGACTGTAAAGCTTTTTTAATTTATACCTTCATGTTGTCAGACTTGTCTGATATGAAGTTTAAATAATGAATTTATATTTGCTTTCTCAATCCTTTAAAATACTGAACGTACCACGTATAGATGAACTCTGCACGTTAAAATTATATGAGTTGTTTCTGTGGTTTATATGTTGCCGAAGTTTATTAAGGGTTTTTGGGGGGCAGAGGGTGGGGAGGATGTATATATTTGAGTTGTTTGTGTTTTGGCCTTGTTATTAATTCTCCACTTCACTAATCTTTCTATTCAGTGTGCTGTACCAACAGCAAAATCAGCCTATGGATGCTTTACAGGCCTATATCTGTGCTGTACAATTGGACCATGGCCATGCTGCAGCCTGGATGGACCTAGGCACACTCTATGAGTCCTGCAACCAGCCTCAGGATGCCATTAAATGCTACTTAAATGCAACTAGGAGCAAAAATTGTAGTAATACCTCTGCACTTGCAGCACGGATAAAGTATTTACAGGTAAAACTGATGTTTTTAAGAAGGGGGAAATAACTCTTCCAAATACACAGCAGAGGGGAGGGGAGAAGTAACACACAGGTTTTAACTTGAAATTGTTTGTGGTGTGAATAACCTGTTTTCATGTGTATTGTAAGCATATCATAGCCTGTAATATTTTATTTCTTCATTTTTTAAGTGGAACTTAATTCCTTACAAACCCTATTTTGCACATTTAATCAAAGCATACTGTTTTACATCACTTTGCTTTTTTTTCTTTGTATTGTCTACATTTTTAAGTTCTCATAACATATAGTGAGAATACGCACACACTATCTTTTCACTCTTGTTTGCAATTTCAGAAAAAAAAAAGGAATTATGAGACCTCTGAATCCAGAGCTCATCTTTGTTCTGATTCTCACAAAGGTTTATATTCTGGTTACCCTCTTTATACTTAGCACCTTTCTGAAACCCGAAATTTTAAATCTATCCTCTCTTTAAGACATAATTAGCTACAGCATATAGGAAGATTTCATGGACTTGCTCTTACTAAAGTAGGCTTGTGTTAAATTTGCTTTTTACATAATTTTTCCTAGGCTCAGTTGTGTAACCTTCCACAAGGTAGTCTACAGAATAAAACTAAATTACTTCCTAGTATTGAGGAGGCATGGAGCCTACCAATCCCCGCAGAGCTTACCTCCAGGCAGGGTGCCATGAACACAGCACAGCAGGTGAGAAGTTGGGTTATGTTCTGCAGGTGCCCAGCTTTAAGGGTTCTTTACAATCGGTAGTGGTCAAGCTTATTTTATTGAGCACAGGATTGGCTTTTATTTAAAAAAAAGAAAAAAAAAAAAAAGGCCTTTGATTTATTTGCAAAGGGATATTAGATCAAGAAGCTCCCTGCAATGTGGGAGAAGTATGGGGGTACCAATTTAGAACCTTTGTGGATTTTCATGATTTTTAAAGATTTCATCTTAAATAGAAATGCTGCAGTGGTTTAATAATCCCGTGAAAGGTACACATTCCTCCATTGATGACCATATGGAAACTGATTTTTCAGTTATTGAGATCAGCTTCAGAATTTCTACTCGGCCCTTTTAATACATGTGGGCTGTTAAAATTATAAAATTTAAAGGAAAGCATTAAGAATATATAGAACCATATTTTTGTCTTCCTTCTGTGATTCTTAGGCTTGTAAACCTCATCATCCAAATACTGAACCTGTACTAGGCCTCACTCAAACACCAATTTCACAGCAATCCTTGCCACTACACATGATTCCTTCTAGCCAAGTAGATGACCTGACCAGTCCTGCCAAGAGGAAAAGAACATCTAGTCCAACAAAGGTATATATTCCGATGAACTAGAGCCCCCTACCAAAATTATATGGAAATATGTATTCAAATGATGCAGCATGCACAGAATTTGTGCTGTAAAATTTTAATCCTTTGGCATCAAGGTGGGGAATGTTTTTAGAAATTTTAAAAAGGATTTTTCAGTGATGTGTTTAATCAGATTCCAGCTCAGACATAAAGGGCAGTGCAGGTCAGTGGCACTTAACTGCAGTCATAGCTGTGTAAGGGAGGAAGTACGATTGTAGTCTGATGGTGGAGAGGGAGACGATCATGTCATCCTGTCTATTGCCTTTGCTTATATTTAGAATTCAAGTGTTTCATCATCATGTAATAGTGTTACAGTAGATAAAGTATTCAGTTTTAAAAGTAGCATACATTTAAGTTAATTGCATAATTTGATTTGCTTGTTTCTCGTTATAATATTAGGGATCATTAACTTTTTCCTCAGACTACTCTGATACTGTTGGGAATGGTAGAGTGAGACTTGGTGTATTTTAGTATATTCTTTGTTTATGTTGATATTCTTGAAACAATGACTAGTTCTTTCATAAGCAAGATAAAATCTAGATAGTAAAAGAAACTAGGTGGACCCTTTGATAGTCACACATTTTAATGTAATGTTTTCTCTCAGAATACTTCAGATGTTTGGAGCAGTGGCCATACAGTGTCACATCCTCCTGTACAGCAACAAATTCATTCTTGGTGCTTGACACCACAGAAATTACAGGTAGGTGTGGAAGATCTTCAGAAGCTCTTGATATATTTTTTGTTCCTTCCCTTCTTCCTTTTAAGAAAATAAATCTGGGACGTGTTTCAGTTTCACATTTCCGAAATTAAGTGTGAAATACTTCCCAAATAATTCTCAGGGTGTAGTTCAAGTTGTTCTAATATTTATGGCTTCTCTAGGTGAGATTAGTTCTGTAGTAAAATAATTGATCTCTAGCAGAAACTGAGTACCTACATTGTATGAATTCTATAATTTATAAGGTAAGAACATACAGCAGCTCCTTTGTCTTACAATGTTTTAAAGATAGATGTGCAAATTGTCACACTTTTGTGCCAAATGAGTTTTGTGAGTCGATGTAATGTGGGGGATGTTGAAAGAGGTGTAGATGTATTGTAATGTAATCTTCTTTTCCTCTGAGGTAGCTTCTCGTATCAAACTGCATAAACAAACAACCACATTCTACAGAATGCAATTACTCAAATGAAATCTGGTGCTGCTTTTCTGTCTTTATGTCATCTAATACAGTTATATGAAATGATAGATTTTAGTTTGGAAACCTTATTTCAGGTATTCTTTGTTATGATATTTTGTTGTCTCTTCAGTTCATTAGGGCATGCTGTGAGCTTCAGCAGGAATTCCATATTTTGAAAATCAGGCCTAGCTGAGAACCCATGTACTGCAGATGTTGCTTTGGATGCAAAGAAAAATAGAAGGGAACACAGTGCAGATGCAGACAAGGCATTCTGATTGACTGAGCAGTGTTCCCCTCAATTCCAATATAGTTCTTCAGCTGTTTCTCTGTCTCAACAATATTGGCTTTATTATACTGTATAATTTTCCCCTCCCTCTTCCTCCCACCTCCCCACCGCTTTGGTCCTTCCTCAGTCATTCTTCTGGATCTCTCTCTCTCTCCAAGCATTCTCATTATTTCTCTCAGCTTATTTTACATCCTGCTACTTTTTCCCCTTTTCACTTTCACCTTTTACCAGATCCAACTAAGGAGAACCTAAGTAGCTTCTCTATCTAAGTACACTTACTGGACTTGCTGGCAACAGCTTGACCAAGTTCCAGCATATATGAATAGCAAAGCCAAAAATAGATGGTAAAAGAGGAATGGCAATGAAACCTTTATTACATCTTCTAAGTTGGCAGCTCAGAGGCTGGATGGATATGGCATGTTATATATACATATATAACATACATATATTTATGTCTTACTCATTGCATTCCCTTCCAGAGGGACTTCAGAATGGAAGCTGCTGTTAATCCAGGGATTTTGGCATGAACATCCTCTTTTTAAAAAGTCATACCACTTAAAGCAGCAGGCTTACTGGTAGAATGATGGGCTGCGCTGAGTAGTTTAAAATTAATAAAGAGATCGAATTTTTTGGTAATAGATACTTAAATTTATCAGCTGCAAACAAGTTCAGTATTGTAACTTAAGATATCTCTCTCTGTAATTAGAATGCGTAGTTTTCTGGGGGTTTTTTTATATTTTCCAAAGAAATTTTCTTGTGTGACTATAGGTTTAATTCACTTGGTGATGAACAGTATTAATAAAAGAATAGCACAGTACGAAAAGGTGCTAAAGTATACATAATTATGATAAGAATTCCATATAATCATACTTGAATGTAGTTTTCTTTTTCAGTACCAGCACACTTAATTTTAGTGTGGTAAATAATAATTATACGCTCAAATAATTTGCGGAGTCTCTGCAATTTTAGTAGCTGGTGTTAAGGTTTGGCTGCAAAACAGTGTTTGGAAAGATGTTTCAGTCTGCAGCAGAAATCTCAAAATTGTTTTCAGCTTTACTAGTCTTGACTTCATGGGTACATTTTAGTATTGTATGCAAGAAAGTTATTAAAAATCCCATGCAATTTTAACGATTCTGAACCACACTGCTGTTTTTTTAGCACTTGGAACAGCTGCGTGCAAACCGAAATAATCTAAATCCAGCACAGAAACTTATGCTGGAACAGCTGGAGAGTCAGTTTGTCTTGATGCAGCAACACCAGCAGGTGAGAACAAAAATATTTTTTCTCTTTTACAAAACCTTTCTCAGTAATGGTGTCTGTTGCATTCCTTGAATTCTGAAGAATTTCCGTTGTGCAGAGTTCTCATGCCTTTTGCTGCGTTAACAATAATTTATCTTTTTTTGTATGAAGTACAATTGTTGATTAGTGGTGGAAATGTAACGGGTTTAAGCTGTGTTTTATTATAGGGCTGCCAGATAATGTAAAACTTTTCAAGCCACACTTTCCAGCTGAAGTGAGTGGACTCATCTAAAAGCAGTCTGACTTGAAAAATACGTAGTCGTAGTGAGCGGTATTGCAGCATCTCTGTCCTGCTGTCCTTGTTCGCTTCTGTCTCTCTCAGTGTCCACTTTCAGCAGTAAAATACTCAAACTGAAGGGCCCAGAAGAAAAGCGTGCTGATAGCTTTACCTTAAAATTTACTCAGCACTTTCATGAGCATGACAGTTACCTTGGTTCTCAAAAGCAGCCGTGAAGATGTGTAGAATTGGAATTGGAACTGGAATTGGCCAGTGCAGTGAAGTACACAAACATTGCATGATCCTTGCTTTCTGAATTCTGCAGCCAACGCTCTTGTGCTTTGTCCCTGTTTCATTAGATGAGACAAACAGGAGTTGCACAGGTACGATCTACTGGAATTCCTAACGGGCCAACAGCTGATTCATCACTGCCTACAAACTCTGTCTCTGGTCAGCAGCCACAGGTTGCTCTGACCAGAGTGCCTAACGTCGCTCAGCGTGGAATCCGTCCCGCCTGCCCCGGGCAGCCTATGGCTAATGGACCCTTTCCAGCAGGCCCCGTTCCCTGCAGCACAGCAAGAACGCTGGGTAGTACAGACACTATTTTGATAGGCAATAATCACATAACAGAAAGTGGAAGTAATGGAAACGTGCCTTACCTGCAGCGAAACGCACTCTCTCTACCTCATAACCGCACAAACCTGACCAGCAGCGCAGAGGAGCCGTGGAAAAACCAACTATCTAACTCCACTCAGGTACAGCTTCAGTTTGCTCATAGAGTGCTCTAAGGAGGCTTCAGGGGCAAGGCACTGCTTGAAGTCTCTCATTTGTAAATGCACATTTTGTAGGGTTGTTGAGCTAGATGCAAATAGAACCTACACTGGGCTTCACATTACTTTTTATTGTTAGAAGTCCGTGTATTACATCAACTTCTTTCAGGATGAAGGAAACGATAAAGAGGGCATTTCACACTGCTCAGCTGCATGCCTTTGCAGAAAACTTTCTTAAAAATGAATTCTTGTACGTCTTTTTGTTGCTTCTTTAATGTGAAACGTTGTCAGTTTGTTTTTCATGTAGGAGGAATGTGCATATTTCATGGGGAGCTGAATGTCGTGGTTGTTTCTGACATTACATTGTTGCCATGATGTAATCGTGACCACATTTTGTTCCTGTGTGATCTTCCAAAATTAATGTCTGGCATTCAGTACCACAGAGTTATTTGCAGAAAAATACTATAATGCTAGTAAAAATCCAGAGGGATTGAAGTGTGTGAGTAAGGGTGTTTTGTGTATATGTGTTAGAACTTGAAGATGGAGCTTCTTTTTGTAAATTCCAGCCTGATTGTCTCTCTTCTAAGTCATACCTTGTGGTATGTAATGAGGAGTTCTATAGGAAGATACCTTAATGGTTTAATTCACTTTTACCAGATGGTTATATTGATACAATACCATTTTGTTCCTCAAAACTGCACACTTTCTTGTTTAATTAGTATTGCATGTTACTTTAATGCTGAAGAATTGAGAGTGGGCTTTAGTACAGACATAGATAGATACTTAACTGCACATAGACTGCCACAAAGGCTGAGAAGACACCAAAACATCTTGTGTTAAACATGGTTATTCAAGATTAAAAGACTGTTATGATTTGCAAAAGTTTCCACTATATAAATGTTACTGTTTACATCATTTATAAACATGGAGCGGGGGATGTGGAACCTGTTCCCCACACTACCTCTTGCTTGAATTAGAATTCACTTTTCTATTTGCTCTGTATAAAAGAAGTTCTGCACTTGCTAGAGAGGTATCTGCTCCCTGCAAGATGTCTGTTGTGCTAGTTCCATAAAGTAGGCAAGTAATAAATCACAATAGGAGTTGGCTACTTCC